ATTAATTTAAAAAAGTCTTTTTCAAAGTTTGATGTAGCTAACGTTCTTAAACTAGTATTTAAGTCTATGTATTTCTTTAACCAAGAACTCTGTTTAAAATTTAAAATTCTATGTACTTTAATTAATTTAATCCCCATTTCAATGCATTGTTTTAAATTCCTGTAGTGAATGATGTATTTATTTTTATTATTTAAATTAGGAACTAATTTAGTTTCTTTAGTATTACCCACACGTATGTTTTCAGGACACAACGGAAAGTCAGAATGCAAATTATGAAGTTCATCAAGATATTCCAAATCAACTTCTAAAACATAACCGAAATCAGAGTTATCCGACACATTGTAATCTGTATTAGAATCAATCTATTCGAAACCACCAACAGGAAGAGATTGAGACATTGCCCAACCGTATAAATTATTTGCATCAAAATAGGTTAGGTATGAATTAGGTTTTTCACTATCATAATCTTCCATGAATTTATTATTTGCTCTAGCAAAACGATTGCTACACTGAGATACACCCCCTCTAATACCGGCATTAAAAAAAGCAATTTTGTCATAGTCCGTTAACAATTATAATTCTATTTTGGTAAATTTTAACATTGCATCCCAACTTAAACCTGGGGCAGTATAGTAATGAGCAGGATCTAATCCATAAGTTTCAATACAAAGCTTTCTAAAGTTTTCAAATACATCAGTCAAAAGTAAAACATCAGTTTTTAAATATAAATTGGAATAATCAGACATACTACTACACTTAAAATGTTGCCAAATATCTTTTGCATGATTATAATCATCATTTGAAATTTTGAATCTGTGAGTGAACTATAAAGTTGGTGTTGATCAGGAAGTGATGAATGTTTCAAGCAATCACTATTACACATAAATTCATAAGGATAAATACCTTTCCGTCTTAAACGTGAAAAGTCTTCATTATTAGGATAGTTCCTTTTTAGTTCTGTAAACTGATCATCATTAAGATTTTTAGCTAGTTGATCTAAACTACACGATAAAAATTTCAATGAATCTACGAATCTTAAACTTACCGGTTGATAATTTATTGTTAACTGTTTTGAAAATGATATATATCGTTCTTTATTTTGTGGAATAACTTCAACTTTGTCATCATCGAAGTTTAATGCATGGACAATGAAATGAGCATCGTAGTGACTGAGGTTATGTAAGAATATTGGGATATGACGAGGGGTTCTGTACTTAAAACTACACACTTGATGTGCAACACCCCTAAAACTGCCAGTGTGCCAATCAAAATCGTAAAAAAGATCTTCATTTAACTCAGTTTCACAAATATAACATATGTTTGAATTTGAAATTTTAATTTTATCTTCATCTGATAATGGAACGGGGCATTTTTGGAAACTATTTTTTTTTAACTATTGTTTTCACATCTTCACAAAGGCGATTCATAAACAGTTGTGCACAGTTTGACCCACTATACGTCTCATATTTTGATAATCTGTTATCATATGAACATTATTTTAATATAATATCCAAAACTATACACTTCATGTTTTTGAATATTAATTGTACTAGGCTTAGATGGATCGTTACTACATGATTCTATTGGATTCAAAAATGCCTCAAAGTCTGCATAAATGACAAAGGGCATTTCCAACTTTTTCACGAATTTGTCAAATTTTATTTTATTATTTGAGGTCGGTTTACCAAGCCTATCCTTTTTGGAATACTCGCCGTTTGGTAATTCCGTACAAATGTGAGCGCAATCATATTGTCGATGACTATTAAGTCTTTCCTCTGATGGGAAATGAAGTAAACATGAATGACATATATAAACTCTACGATGTTGTCTTGATATTTGTGAACTAACTAATCGCGATAAGTTTTTAATATAACAGTAATGATTTTTAATACCATTCGATATATATAGTAGGTTAATATGATTAGGTGTACGACATTTTGTTAAATATAAAGGACCTACAACAGAATTACACTTTTTTTCTTTATTATACTCTAAACCAAAAACATTAATACTAATATTGTTTAATTTCTCAACTTTTGATATATCTGCAATTTTAACCGGAAAAGAAATACCAGTAAATTTTAGTTTATTTCCATGAATTGCGTAAGATGCTACCCGATCTACACTTTTACATACAAGATATAAACCAGAGAGTAATGCCCATTTGCTGGGTCAAATGATGTAAAGTTTAAAGTTTGCATTACGGACGCAACTCTTATTGTTCGAAGAGCACGAATTAATCCAAGTGTATTACTCGCTCATCAGAAAGTTTTAGCTTCTACCACTGCTAAATAATAATTACTCGTGCTGAAGTTAAAGTTTTAACAATTCCATCGGGTGTTCAAGGAAAAACTCTTGATAATATATTATTCTTAGGACAGGTACCCAAAAGATGTATTATAGGTTTTGTGAATAATTCTGCATTTAATGGTTCACTAACTAAAAATCCATTTACCTTTGAAAATTATGGTATTAACTCTTTAAGCCTATATATTGATGGTCAACAAATACCTTCCAAAGCTTTGCAACCATCTTTTAATAATAATATATTTACATCAGCATATCGTACTCTATTCTCGGGGACTGGTATTCACTTTCTTAATGAAGGAAACGCAATCTCACGTGAACAGTATGCCAAAGGTTACCTGTCTTTAAGCATTTGATTTAACTCCTGATTTATCAGCTAACTCATCAGCCCATTGGAATCTCATAAAGCATGGTAGTGTAAGATTAGAAGTACGATTTGAATACTCACTAACACAAACAATTAACTGTATTGTTCATGCTGAGTTTGATAATATTATTGAAATAGATAAAAATAGAAATGTTACTGTAGACTATAGTAGTTAGGATTATAATGTGTATTGTGTTTTAGATATATGTGTTACGCTTAATGCATTTTGTGTGTGTAACTAAAGGTAACATTATAAAATTTAATAAAACAAAATGTATGCAATGTACTATTTTTTATTTACTTATAAACCTTCCCCATTTAATCTTATACAATATACTACTTATAATTAAAGTAGAGAAGAGAGTATCCGAGCATCATCATACGATGAATCGAACAGTTCACGCTTCTCCATTTCATCACAAACTTTTATATCATTAGTTAACATATACTATTAGTTTATCTATGTTTAGTTTATAAACATCTTTAGAATCCTTAATTTGTATTAATATGACTAGTCCACTAATGAGTGAGTGTCATTGTTAAAAAAGTATTTTTTTACTTTTTCACTTTCTGCTATTGTCTTTGTAATATTGTATACGAGACCGTTTGTGTTGTCGTAGATGCTATCCTTATAATTCTTTACGTAATATTTAATCCTCGTGGTAGCGTGCTTCCAGTGATCACTAGTTGGAATCTTGGATAGTTTCTTCATATCATACATTTCAATTTTTATGAGATGCGTCGCTTGGCCTCCGTCGTCAGAATTTGTAGAGATGATATGATACGCCATCTTTAACAGCTCGTCCCACAGTCAACGATAGCAGCGTCCTCCTTTTTATTTTTGGTGCCACTTCAAAAAATGTATCAATCGGTTGCGATTTCCTTTTCCACCATCGCCTGTGTTATTAACAACGATGTCATCACTCTCTTCTTCGTGTTGGGGAGAGAGAGGCGAGTAGTAATACTGTTTATAGGTATTTACATTATCGTCTGCGAAGCTGAATGATCTCTGCAACAACAGAGTTATCACGTTAATATCAATTTGATTAATCTGACACACACACACACGTACAACAACAGAAATACAAGTAAGTTTGTCAATAGAATAAACACTTACCTCCATGATGCGTTGAAGTAGGTAACACAAACGTAGTATTGGTAGACGTATACAATTCACTGTGGTCAAACGACCATACACTGATTGCATGACTGCAATTGTTCCATCATTATAGTCCATTCTTATCTAAAAACATGACACACACATACACATCCCTAAGTACAACGAAACTCTATGAATCAACAAACTTATCTCACATCACCACAGGCATGAACCTGTTTTGTGACTAACACAAAGAATGCGATTTAATATTTACAAATCAATATTATTGAACACTATGACAACCATTGAATAGATTGATACTGTAATAATCTGCTAATAACAGTAATATCATGGATACACTAGAATTACAAAAACATATGAAAAAGATTCATTCCAGTCTAGAAAATAATGTTTATGCTGCTAATAGACTACCTATGTACACACATGTACCAACGTATATAATATGCAATTTGGATGTGGATAATAAACCAGGGTCACACTGGGTAGCCATACATATCGATACAAATGGTATCGGCCAATATTTTGATTCATATGGACGAACACCTGAGCGATATCATCTTCAGTTTTTGAAAAGGAATTCTAAGAGGTGGGACTGGAATGTTGATAGGATTCAGAATGATTGGACTTCGGTTTGTGGCGAATATTGCTTAATGTATTTGTTATTTAAGTTTCAGGGATGTTCAATGCATAGTTTTACGAACATATTTACAGGAAACACGCTGTACAATGATAATTTAGTGGATGAGATGTTCCACTCATATTTTGTAAAAAAAAGTTATAACATTTCGAAATAAAAATGAATGATTGTGTTTTATTGATGATATAGAAAATCAGACAAAATGAAGTTAACAATGAGTAATAGATAAGAACGCCAAAGCAACCGTAATGAGAGAGTTCGAAGCACAATAGATAATGATAACGATAGGCGTACAATGGGACGTTAAGTAATGTAACGATAAGCAAACAATGGAACGTTAATGAGGGTTCAGAAGCTTCAGTGATTTTCATAACACCAGAACCACGCATCCTACGCTAAAACGGACTGCAGAAACGTGATCAGAGCATGCCAAAACCTAGGAAAGCATACCAAACTTTTTTTTTTTTTTTTTTTTAGGTTTGGTGCCACTCAGATTTTAGATTCCGGGTGATTAGCTGGTTCTGGCGCTTGCGCCAGAACCAGCTAATCACCACTACTCACGTCGACTCAATTTTCTTTTTCTCTTTTTACAGATAAAAAATGAAGCTGTTATACAATGTGATATTATTGGCGATTGTGTATGTACCAACACGCTGCCAATACAGAAACAGGGTAGGCAGGTTTGACGAAGTATTCGCTTGGAAGCAACTCACTTATGACATCAACGGAATTGATGGTAAGTTTTTCCATAGAACCAAGAAAGGGTGGACTGAATATGTAGTTAAGAGAGAGCCAATAGACCACCACAGATGGGGCCCTAAAGGGCTGATATTCATATGGGGTTGTACGGCAAGCGCAAAAAGGTACCGCGGCTTGAGCCTGGAGCAGGACAAGGTTCAGGGTTTATTTATGACGTAGGCAAATGAGCAGAATGAAAGAAGGGTAGTTCCTAGAATATAAAATGGCACTACGTACACGATGAAAGAGGCTATTGTCAATCGATTCGACTGCACGGTTGGTGCAGTGGCTGGGCAACTGGCTGCCGTGTTGTTGTTCCGGGTCTGGGTGTGTTGTGTATGTGAAATTGTATGTTTGTAACGGCACCCACGACACAGGAGAAAATCCTAATATGTGGGGCAACGTTTTTAAAAAAAAAGTCTATACTTCTATAACTAATATCATAGTGAGGTAAAATTTGTAAATTTGTATGTAGGGGGTAATCTTTGGAACCGCTGGTCGGATTGCCAAAATTCTTCACTGGTAGATAGCTACAATGGCCCTGAGTACTAAAGGCTATAAAACATCACGCTACGATCAAATAGAGCCGTGCAGCGGGTGAAACCACGCGAGAGTAGCTATTATTTTATAGAAAATTTAATAATCCAGTTATTATTCGGTATCCCGTTCCCCTTGATTCCGAGATATCAATTAGTTTTTAAGGCATATTACATCTATAGGCCACTGTCGCCTGATTGTACATACTTACATAGAAATTATGTAAATTAAAATTTAATGTTGGTAAGCTAGGCCAGGGAATTATTTGATGACATTTCCCTATCACAAAAAAAACTATAATAAATTATTTTTAACATTTATTTTATTTATTAATTCTTATCCATATCGGGTAAATCCAATAAATAAGTTTAAAGGTCAAAAACAAGGTTCCAAACATTAATCTATTGGTCTGGTCTAGACATTAGATTATGAATTATAATTATAAAAGCCAAACTAGTATTATAAATGCGAAAGTAACTCTGTCTGTCTGTCTGTCTTTTCTTCACGCCTGAAATACTAAACCAATTTCTGTGAAATTTGGTACAGACATAGTTTAGAACTCCAGAAAGGACATAGATGGATAAGTCACACTTCCATGCAAACGGAGTCGCGGGAAAAAGCTAGTACCTAATAATTTAATCTGAATAATAAACGTCTAGGATATACCTGTGTTTTCAGAATTCTATTCTATATTTTTTGCTCTAAAACAAAACATGTACCTATTAAAGATCACCCCGTCGAGCGAGGAGTCTAAGGGGATTTTTTGAAATAGTCCTGATGGTAATAGGTATCCCCTATTTCATGGGACTAACGACATAACTGCTAATAGATCGGCAGCCAAGAGGATTACCTGATGGTAAGCAGTTAACGCCGCTTATGGATACTTGGAACGCCAGAGTTTCGCGTGAAGTTGCATTTTGTGTATTAGGGTTTCCATCGTACGGCGCGTAGCGTTCCGCGCGCGCCTCAATGAGCCCACTACAGACGGGGCCCTATAGGGCTGATGTTCAGCCGGGGTTGCGGGGTAAGCGCAATGCGGCACTGCGGCCTCGGCCTAGGAGAAGGAACGGGTGGGTATTTAGTCAGTAAGAGTCTGACACTCCCTCTCGCCTCATGCTGGGCGGGAGATGGCATTTGATGATTTTCCCTCACAAAAAAAAAACGCTCTAATACCGTCATAGGTCGTTGACGTAACATTACCTAAACACAATTTCTCAATAGCTACAAATTCTCTTTAATTTTTTAATAAGGTCGAAGTCCTTATTTGTCAAATTATTTGACACTTCTATGATGATCGCTAAGCTACTTCGGGGAATATATAACGTAATATTATCAAGGCTTTGTCGTTGAGTTGTACTGAATTTCGTGTCTTTTGGCGTATACGATTCTTTTTTTATTTAATACTAGCTACTCGCGCAGTTTCACTGTTCGGCTCCATTTGATCGTAGCGTGATGTTGTATAGCAATCAGGCACTGTAGCTATCTATCAGTGAAAGAATTTTGGCAATCCGACCAGCGGAACTAACTTGGAACCTAAGGGGATTACCTCTTTATAATATTAGTATAGATGTGATGGGTCGGCAAACGAACAACCAAGGATTACCCGGGGTGGTGATGATTGCGTTGCTGACATTTGGAGGTTTTTGGATTGGGGAGGGGTTGGGCGTGTGAATGAGATTAACCCTCCGGTAACCTCACTCACACGGCGAAACACAACGCTGTGGTTCTTTCACGCCGGTTTTCTGTGAGGCCGTGGTATCATTCCGGTCGAGCTGACCCATTCGTGCCAAAGCATGGCTCTCTCACACAAAACATAATTTTCTTAAGCTTTCGTTTATGGAAATCAAAGTCAAAGTCAAAGTCAAAATCATTTATTCCAACTAAACCATAAATAGGTACTTTTGAAACGTCAAAATAGAAAAGTAGTCTGTCAGTCTGTTCGTCAGTGAAGCTAGGTGCTCATTCCAAATTGTAGATTCGAATGGAGAAGAACGAGCAAGAAACTCCATTCGTTACTCTTTTTTTAAAAAAAATGTTTTACAATTTCAATAACATTTATAGTATACATTAGTGTACCCTTATGTGAGAAAAATGCAGAGACAAGTTGTTAAAAAAAAAAGAACAAATGAGGGGACCTATCATAAAATTTTACTCCTTTGTCGTCTCGAACATGGCGCTCACATATGCGTACTCACAATCTTTAAGAGTGCTTCTATATAAACTTTTTGGATATATATAAATTAAGGATGCATTATTTTTGAGAATTTTACCTAACTGCTGACTATATTTGAGTATTGTCCAGTGGAGCCGAATCAACACGCTGCCAGGCATTCTTATCCTCAATATAATCTGAAAGTTTGTAGTATGCCTGTCTACACAATTCGCGTTTATTATAAGTTTTAAATTTTCGTTCGTTAAGATTCAATACAGTACTTGGAATTTTATTGTAACAATTTACACAGAACCCCATAAAGGATTTCTGTACTTTGGACAGACGGAATCGTGGCACAGCCAGCCTATCTTTGCCTCTTGTATTAAAATTATGTCTATCGCTTCTTTTTTCAAATAATTGCAAATTTTTCCTTACATACATAATATTTTCATATATAAACTGGCAAGGCACCGTCACGATATTTATCGTTTTAAATAGTTCTCTCAGAGATTCGCGACGGGGCAAGTTATATATCGCTCGGACTTCCGCAGCTCGACCCCACAGCAAAATTCCGTACGACATAATGCTGTGAAAATAGCTAAAATAGACAAGCCTTGCTGTGTTCACGTCTGTGAGCTGTCTTATCTGTCTAACTGCAAAAACAGCAGAGCTTAGTCTCCCCGAAAGCGTCTTTATGTGGGAACCCCATTGAAGTCTATTGTCTAGTGTGATACCTAGAAACACTGTCTCGTTGACAAATTCTGACTTTTGCCCATTTAAAATTATGCTACAATCATTACTGTGTACGTTGGGCAAGCTAAATTTAATACATTTTGTTTTTTTCTCGTTAAGTGCTAAATTATTGACTGTAAACCAATTATGAACTTGATGAATGGAGCTGTTTACTTCGTCAAAACTATTAGAACGTCGACCTACTTTAAAGATTAATGATGTATCATCAGCAAACAGCACCATACTTGGCTCAGCTTTAGGGTAAGAATGGGTATTACCGGTCACTTAAGGCAAAATGATCACAAATCAAATAATTATAAACATTTCTTTATTAAACCTTTTAACAGTCAAACTATAGGTATTCTTCTATCAAAATCACATTAATTCAGATCAATGATTTAAACAAATTTAGCACAATCAGCATTTAAAAAAAAATCGAGTTTGACTGGTATTAGACACATCGGCGGGTAAAACCAGTCAATAGGTTGCTAATGCCGGTCAAGCTTTGTTCAGGCATGAGTCGCAAATGAAACCTCAGGAGAGTCATAACCAGAGCACTCAGAGTGCGCCCAGATACCACACAGCACACATCTATACCAGAGTTCGTTATCACGTCCATAATCATAGCAAATTAAACATTAGTTTTCATAATCTTCGTCAGCATCGGTGTCTTCGTCTTTATGCAGGTCTGTCATTTCTACTTCTGAGTTCGACGTGCTCTCATTTGATTTGTTTATATCTTGGAGCACTTTAGCAGTATCTTTTTAGCTTTTTTCACTTCCATTGATTTTCCTTTTCTTTTATCAGTCGTTTTTTCGGTTTTTATTTTAAGAATTGGCTTTTTCTTCTCCTTTGTAATTTTTCTGTTTTCTTTCTCGACTAAAGCTTCTTTGTTAGGAGTTTCTGTTAATACTGTTTGCGAGATCGTATGTTTTTTTCTTGTCCTTCGATTTATTTTTTATTTCGTAGTGGCAAAAGATCCTTAACAGTGACAGGTCAACCAATGCTAGAAATAGAAGGAACGGGGTTGTCATATTTTTATTTGTCCCTGTTTAGTTACTCTTGGCTCCACGACGCCTTTGAATTGAGTTGGCTTCTTCTTTAAGCCATCCTAAAATAATAAAAAAATCATTAATAGTAAAATAAATTATACCCGTGTTTACCAATTTTACTTGTGGTTAATACCGGTCAGCATGACCGGCATTGCCCGACTCGCAACATCTTCATAAAAAAACTTCTAGATATTAAACCTGACCAAATAAGTTAAAAAACGATTATCACTCTGAATGCTAAGTAATTATGGTGTAACAATCCTAGGTAACAATGTTAGAAACGTGAAATTATAAACACTCACCTGTTATCGTTTTATCCCGAAAATTTACATCAACTAGGCGCGAAAACAAATGACGTGAATTCACCCAAGAAGTCGCCTGCGGAATTAAGCGGGGACCGGAGCGTTGTCGCTCGGCGACATCACGCCACTCGCTGTGTATGTGTACTTGCGTCGGAACACAGTAGTTTTTGAGATTTTAGATTGACCGGTAATACCTCCTGACCGGTATTACCCGGTTCTACCC